GGATTTTTAGGGGTCAATTCCACGTGAAATTTTCCGTGCTTTTCAATTCTGATGCGATCTATCCGCAATTCGGTCGGGAACCGTGACTTTTAGCATCGTGAACCCCCCTTTACCCCCCAAGGGGGTCGGGGGGGTTTCGGGACCACGAAATTCGGATTCCTTGGGGTCAATTCCCTATTCAACCCCGCGATCTCCGACTTCGTACGACCTATACCAACCGAGAAAAAGGCCTGGTACGGGTGGTCTGAAACACCCTGTAGTTATGGAGTAAGACTACAGTTATGGACAGTTATACTATAACTATGGACTATAACTATGGACTATGACTATGGGACCTCGTGTCGATTGCCGTTAGTTGCTTTATTACTTTTCTCCTTTGTCCATCGCAATCACCCGCCTCCACCTGTAGGATTCCTCCATTTCCCCTCTCTTTATCGCTCTCTTTAACGATATCAATAATCATTCTGCAGCTAGCAGGGTAAGAAAGTTTAGTGTGGTTTACAGAAAGTATAAATTTACTTGGGCTTTATAGTCTTCAAGTTTCGGAGAGGTCTCTTTGATGATCGGCTGACCCTCCTCATCCAATTTACCAATAATTTCCTCTTCCTCAGGCGTGAGAGGTTTCCCATACTTTAAAAACTGATTCAGATATTCATGCCTATCACCCAGCCAGAGGTAGCTGTACTGTTCAAACGAATTGGAGAAGTGGACAGCCTGGGAACAGAGAAAACAAGCGAGAAAGCTGTATTACGTAGGTATCGAGTGCGGTGGGACATTTTCGGGCTTTTTTTATTTTGAAAACGGACATAGCGTGAAAGTGGCGAAAATGTCTAAAAACAAAGCCTGAATCTCCCTGAATTTTTTCGTCATCATTTGGACTACTCGGATTGACATTGAAGTCAAAATTTATGAAAAAATCAGTTTTTTCGACGATAACATGGCAACGATTGCAAATACAACAACAAAAATGCACAGGATCAAAGGAACAAAGAACTTTATTCTTACTGTTGTTTCTCTCCTTGCAAACGTATGTTAGTGAAAATTCAAAAAACCCTCATTTTTCCGGAAATTTGGTGCAACTCCTCGTTCAGTCCAAGTTAAATTCGGAAGAAAGAGGGCTAACGAGGAAAAAAATCGCGTAACAGACTACTTATTGCTAAAAGAATACTATCAATAGGTTGACCTGAATAACACGAAACACACAAAAGTGTGCTACGGTTCGACCGCGGAATACCCTTTAAAATGCCGAAAATTTAAAAGGGCGACCGTGTCCTAATTATTAAAATAGATTAAGGTATACTTTAAATTGTGCAACTAGGGTAGTTTGAGGTGTCATCTCCTCTGTTATTTTGGTCGTGAATTTCAAGTATAGTGTCAAAAAAAAGGTCCCGGTCAAATAGGGTGCACCAAATCTAGCATGGTGGCCAACTTTCATCGGCAAGAGAGTAACTTTTAAGTTTGATCGTAATCAATTTTGAATTGGAATTACGGTATCAATTTCTGTAAATGATATCGGTCAAGCAGTATATTGATATTGAGAGTTATTTTTCTTTTATAGGGCCTTTCAAAAGACCTGATGAATGACGTCTGGTCAGGAGGGCTACGAAAAATTTCACAATCCTGACCAAATCTGACGGTTACAAGAGTTAAAAATAGCGCTTTGACTCAACAGATTATTATAGTAAATGAAGATAACTTTGGTCGTAAATTTCAAATGTAAAGTAGAAAATTATCTGATTTACTCCTAAGCACGAGATTTAAGGCGTCTATTTTTAAAGGGCATATTTGTAAATTTTAAAGTGTGATTGTAAAAAATCTTCGAAAGTAAGGTACCTATATCATATTCCAGCGTAAAAAGTATCGGTCTAGAAGTTTCATTACTTAGATATTTTCACAATTTATTTTACTGTTCGATAAGACGTAAAATCGAAGATGGTGCTCCTCGTGACTTTCTCCTACGGAGCAACACATAAGAAGACATTATAAAAAAGCGCACGGTTGTAAGTCCAGGCAAATATTAGCCAAAAAAGGAGCCATAGCCTGCAAAAATCCCGGGTGGCAATGTTCCGTGCTAAAAATGGTGAGTACAAATGAGAAGAAAATCAAAGTCATATGAATAGAATTTCAATTCATATGAATAGAATTTCAACTTATACGAATAGAATTCAACTCATATGAGCAAAATGTCTCTATTCACTTTTCGCCGGACTCATATGACTAGAGATTCCAACTCATATGACTAGAGATTTTAACTCACATGAGTTCAGCGTTGAATCTACCGTGTCCGATATCTCAGACACTAGTCACCGCATGAAAAAAATTATAAGAACAAAATGTTCTTATTTTTCAAATTTACGTACCAGGTCGGTGTCTCCTGGTCAAAAACACCCTCTTCTAAAAAATTAAAAAAATTGAATTCAAATGAGTTGAACTTTTCTACTCCTATGAGTAGAATATTTTAGTGATATGAGTAGGATTTCTACTCATATAAGTAGGAAATTCTACTCATGTGAGTCGACGAATTCTGAATAGCCTACTCATCATTTTTAGCAGGGATTTCATTGGCTCCTATGTAATTTTCGACGCTGAATCCGAATTTGAACTATGCATCAAAACATTCGGACCGGAAAGTTGTCAAATTTGGCAAAAATTTCCTAAAATCGGCCTTTTTTCCGGATTATGTCCTGTAACTTGCCAAAAATTGATCTAACGATAAAATAGTTAGTTTGAAAAATAAAGCTTGTTTTTCCTATGAAATGGTTCATTTAAACTTTTTTGCTGAAGGCAAAATGAAGCGCGCTAGCGGGCTCCGAATTTTGAAAAATGAGCGAAAATTGCGCACACTGTCATGTGTTGGGCTTCTTATTTTTTACATCAATCCATGTCTCTTGGTGTAAATTTTATCCTCTTCACCTAATTAATCTAAAAATCACTCGTGAGACGGTTAATAAAGGAGACATAGGGCAAAACCGAGAAAAACGCAATTTTCGCTCATTTTTAAAAGTTCGGTGCCCGCCAGCGCGCTTGATTTTTCCTTGAGCAAAAAAAGTGTATGAGAAAAAATTTTATAGAAAATTTAACAAGTTTTATTTTTTAAAATAACTTATTTTATCGTTAGATCTGAAGCGGGGCCCGGGAGCCTCAGATGAAATAATTAGAGGTAAGATCCGAACACGAGTAGGTTTGAGAGAGGAGAGAGGACCTTGGAGCACATGAGTAAAGGTGCGGAACTAAACTATAAAAACCACTAGATGGGGCCGAAGCCTCACCTTTCCAAAAGTAAGATGAAAACTTACATCAAATATCTCTGGGAGACGGCAATAGACTAAACGGCGGCCGGGCCCCCCACTCCCCAGGCAACGCCAAAAGCCCTCTCCCTACTGGGTGACTCCGCGTAGAGAGAGTCCAATCAACGTGACCTGGGACTAGAAGGACCCAACCGCACGTTATTCAAATTATAAGTCGGGAGACCGGGTCACAGATCAATTTTCGGCACATAACAGGCCAAAATCCGAAAAAAAAGCCGATTTTAGGCCATTCTTGACAAATTTTGAAATTTTTGTAAAACTTTTTCTTACAGAATCTTCTAAAATCGGTAAGAAAAAGTTTTACAAAAATTTCAAAATTTGATGAAGTACGGCCGATAAAGTTAACAACAGAAGTGACATTCTTGCCAAATTTGGCAACTTTTCGGTCCGAATTTTTTTATCCAAAGTTGAAACTCGGATTCAGCGTCAAAAATTACGTAGGAATCAATGAAAGCATTGTTACCTAGGATTTTTGCGAAAATCGCAAAATAACACAATTTTCGCTTACTTTTCAAAATTCGGCGCCCGCCGGTCCGCTTAATTTTACCTTAAGCGAAAAGATGTACAGAAACACTTTTATAGGAAATTTAACGAACTTTATTTTTGAAACAACTAATTTTGTCGTCGGATCAATTTTTGACGAGTTACATAGGCCATATTCCGCAAAAAACGCAATTTTCGCTCATTTATCAATAAAGTTCGGTGTCCGTCAGCGCTCTTGATTTTGCCTTGAGTAAAAAGTTTACAGAAACAATGAGCTTGTTCATTAATTGGTAATTCTTGCATTTTAAAAAACTAGAAAGTGCACATAGCTCACAGGAATTTCCCCCGATTTTTTGGAGCAATATCGTTTTGAAGCCACGAAATACGAGTTCAAAATTCCGTATTTTGAGCTCCCATTTAGACACCACGCCGTTCGGGCTATCCAAAATGGCGGCCACTCTATCCGTCCGGCGATGGCCACACTTTAGACCTCGCGTCCTGGCGAGGTACTTCTGCCATGGAATACTGCAAAACGTCGGGGTCGTAAACCATAGAGAAAATACAGAAGGTGGTGGCAAGCGGAGAAATGTACTTCTCTACGTCACAGTTAAAAATGAAGCCGCCCTTCTGATTGGTCAAGAGGATCCCGAAAAAATCGAGACCTCTTTGAAATTTAAAAATGAGCGGGAAACGTTGTGAGGTTCCCACTTATTTTAGCTCTGGAGACTCGTAACTACAGGGTTATTCAAAAGTTACGCACCACTGGCCATAACTTTAGTTCTAATTATGATATCAATTTGCGGTTTGTGGCTTCCTTCCTCATATCGAGGGGGAAACTTTTTGAGGTACTTTTCAGTTTTTCTGCCCCCCAAAGGGAGGGGGGAGGGAGGGCGGGGGGCAACTCGAAAATTTCAAATGGCAACCCCCATCATGTGATGCATCGTTAGAAAGAGCATGAAAAAAGAAGGCGAAAACCAGAAGTCGATCTGATCCCCCTGTCAAAAATTAGGGGGGTCCAAAGATCATTTAGGGGGTCCGTACCTTCATTTTGGCGCGTATACGTAGTATACCGCCTTTGCGAACGTTTCGAACCCTGCTCGATACAATAACCGAGTCCCTTAGTTCCTTACCGAAAAGTGACTACCGCGAACTTCTGAGATTTTCCAAAGCATGTAAAAAGTTTATTTATCCGTCAATATCAATAATTATGATTTAAAGTTGTTTCTCATTCTGGGGCTTTCTAGTTTATGTGCAGTGAGTACCAAGAGTCTACGTTACTTGGTTTTTTTCAAAAAAGCCTAAGAATACGCAGCGCTGATTTAAAATATGCATATATAAGCGGAAGCAAGCGAACTGATTCGAGGATGGCTGACCAGTTCGGCACTCCTTGAATGAGAATTTCACTCACTCCGTTTTTTTCAAAACGTTGCTTTGACAGATCTCCACTACCCTGTTATACTTTTCAAAATTTGGTACCTCTGCTCTGATAGGGCAATCTGTGTAAGTGCAATCTGTGATGAGCCTCGAGACTCATTAGACCGTTTGCTAAACGTGGTTCATACAAGAATTCACTTAGCCCTCTCTTCCCCACGCTCCTGATCACTGCGTCGGCGTCCCGACGAACAATAGCTGATGAGGGTCGCCAGGCGGCCGAGATCCTCATTCCTCAGCCCCTCGCCCAATTACTTACGCTTGATTAACCATTTCACCGTCACGCTGATTCATCCAATTTTAAAAAAAAAATTGTTTCGCGTGTATTTAGCAATTTTTTCCTTACTCTCCGTTGAAACACAAATAAAAAGAGACCTCATTCATAAAAATCGGCAGAATAGAAGAGAAGTTACAGTATTCGAAATCCGAAGAAATCAACAAAACCTCGACTTCTCGATACAAAAAATAAAATGAAGGGGAAAAAAAGAAATGTATAAATTACAATTAAATATAATTGACCTCAGAATTTGAGAAGCAATTCAATTATATACCTAACGGTGAAAAAACTGGGAGAAATTGCAAAAAATTCGCCTCTTGCAAGGGGCTTCTTTGTAAAAATTTTGATCTGAAGACAAGGGTCGAATAACAGCAGTACTCCATACAATACACGGTGAAAAATAAATGCACCCAAAATGACTATAGCATATTGATTTTTACACCTTTGCACTCATGAAATTGGTTGGTAAATTCAACGAGTGGGTGCATCGACCTGGCATATCAAGTTTCTGCAATTTTTTACGGCAAATCAGTAGATTTTCGGGATGTAGATTGCTTACTTTCAATTCATGAATGAATAAAGCAACGACATGGTTGAACTTCCTTGCATGGAAAGACGTTTAAAATAACAAAATGAAGACGTATTTAATGCAATTGCATTTATATCGAGTCAATTTCTTTTCAATTATAGAACGGATTGGGTGATTTGGGTGATTTGGGTATTTTAGCCCCAAAATACCTTTAAATCGACTTTATCTTCAAGTGTTCGACAGAATTTTTCCTTTCTTCGCTTAAATTATTCCGTAGCACTTTTCTTCAAGAATCTAATAAGATTTTGCTTGAGGCAGATCAAAAAACTTAAATTCGATCGAATAGCTTTCTACATTCACAATACACGGTCTCGTCAAGGTGCCCCGTTGACCTCGCAGTGTTGGATCGTGAATTATCCTGTTGTGCTGCTTGCCTATTTTGAAATCTCTGTAAATGAAAACTAAAGGGGTTGATATGTGCGAGTTAATGACGCGCCTTATCAGCACATTGTGTTGGAGTTCACTGCTTGTTTTAGATTAGCTTCGGCGGCTCTTGGACATACCGTTTCTCTTTTCAAAGAGTCCTCGAATACTCCAAGTCAGATACCGAAGTCTTCATATTGCCCCCGGGCCACCACAGCCCCTCATAAGGGGGGGGATGGGCCTGTTACAATGAAACATTGCATTAAAATGCGAAAAATCACAGAAGAGCTTCAAACTTAGCATGAAATCCGAGTGGAACTTCTTGCCAATGTTAACGCAAACGCAGCCTGCGACTTTAAAGTGAGTTTTCAAAACTCTTAGCCCCCTGCCCCCCTCATTTTTGGTTGCAGAGCGGGTAAAAATCGGGAAATTCAATACAAATAATACCCGAAACTAATGTCCAACTTGAGGAGAACCTTTGAAACGTTGTGATCAGTCGGAGCATTGAAATACAAGGACTGCCACCCCCTTAAAGTACGGAAACATCCAAAACACCCCCGCTGCACCCCTCATTGTTCGTTGCGGAGCGGGTAAAAACCGGGAAAATCGCCAGAAATGATGCCCGAAACCACTGTAGAACTTGACGCGGACCTTTGAAACGTTGCGCCCAGCCGGAGAACTGCAACACAGGAACTGCCGCCCACTTTAAGGACGGAAACATCCATAAAACCCCCGCTGCCCCCCTCTTTTTTCGTTGCAGAGCTGGTAAGAACGGGGGCATCATTTCTGGCGAATTTCCCGGTTCTTAGCAGCTCTGCAACGAAAAAAGAGGGGGGCAGCGAGGGTTTTATGTATGTTTCCGTTCTTAAAGTGGGTTCTTTTTTCATGCTCTTTCTAACGATGTATCAAATGATGGGGGTTGC